TATTTGGAATTCACTCACTCTTTCCTCTTCAAAGTGGACAGATCACTCGGGACACCTCCTTATTATTTAGTCCAACAGCATACTACGTCGCATGGAACTGCTGAGATTGCGATAGCTTGTTGGTGCTTTTGTGATGGCTGGATGTGTGTCTTTCCTGAAAACGACAAATAAAGATGTGACGTCTGCTGTGATATAATGCAAAGATGATTGAAAATTCTGCTAATACTCCATAAACAGCTAATATATTATGTAAACAAGTATGTCTCATATATTTTTAATAATCGAGTCTATTATTTTGAGAACAATAGAATTATATATTAAATACTATATAAACTTTAATTAAACGTGAATCTATAAACTAATCCGATATATATACTCGTTTTTAATAAAATCTCCAAAATAAACGACTCAATTTACACATTTTAACATGTCTATGACTAAATGTAGTACAAATTTTATTTTTCTTCTCTTTTGTACTTAGTTTATTATCATTTTTCGCAAGAATCCAATTTGTGAAGAGGTTGAGAGTAATGGATAATTTATCAAAAATCAATTGTTTAAAATTAATTCTAGCGTGTAAAATCTTTTGAAGAAAAAGCATGTAATGACATTTAATAATTAATAAGTCGATTAAAATTAGTAAAGCGAACAAGAAGAGAATGGGAATATTATATTAGGATTTTTGCGATGATCTTTTGGTTTTTCTTTTATGCGAATGCGATTATATGAATCGATAATGAAGCGTGACTTAATGAAGCTACACGAACGAGAAGCTTTTACATTTGCGAATTCTATGCATAAAAATATATTCGAATTATAAAAATGCATAGCCTACGAGCGCATGCTCACGTTCATGCCATCATCCATGTGCGCATGCACACATACATATATATGCATGCACGTACATTCACACAGGCGCACGCCCGTGCGCGTATATATATATATATATGGACATACACGTGCACACATCGCAAAACAATTAATAATACTATTACAACAACAAGCAGCAATATAAACCAGTAATAACAATAATTGCACTCGTAACAATAGTAACAACAATAGTCCTAAATGTACCCTTCACCAAGCAACGAGAACAAATGACATGACAGCAACGTAATTAATTTTTTTATTTTGTTGATTTGGCCGAATTTGTGTTTTGTGCGTAATACTAATATGACAATCATCGCAATATGGTACTCGTATATAATATACTAAGCCGTGATGTGTTAGTACATATAAAAGAAATGCGGCGGTACGGTATGCGATATTGCATATATTTATATGATATATATGTGTGGTATTAAGAAAAAGACAAAATAATCACTAAGGTACGTTTCATTTGAACAGAATTTTTATTTACGTTGCTTTTATATTTCTTTTTTTTTTCTTCTTTATCAACCACGTGACGCGTACGATCCCTGCTGTATAATCTTCTCTCCTTGCATGTAGAG